CAAGGACTTTAACTTTTTCTTACACATCCTTTACTTATTGGCTCAACCACTTATCTTTGTTTCTCTTGAGTTTGTTGTGGGTTGCTTTTATATGTAGCCTAACAGGTAAAGATACTTTTTGTTGAGATCAATATTATATTCAATTCCTCTTATAAGTGGTGTACTTTCTAAAAATGCATAATAAGGACAACCATGTATTTAGAGGGTTGTAAGTGATGTTTTAGGATTGTTGATGGTATTAGAGAAATCTCATGCAGAGTGGTGAAAAGCTATGTGCCTGTGAATTTCATGTGAATATAATGAATCCCCTCTACCTTGAGTTTGAAGTATTTATAAAGGTCGATTGGACCTAGATCTTTGGACACGGAGAGTGGTTATTCTTTTCATCTTTCAGAAGTGCAAGATGTTGATACTATTATTCCCTAGTTATTATGGAGAACATGGTTTCCCCCTTTAAATGAGATTTTCATTTCATTAGTGCCTAATTGCATATCATTCCCGATATTTTTTAAGTGGGTGAGAGACGGTATGACCTAAGCCCAATAAGAAGCGAGAGTTGCGACTAATAGGCAACTAAAAACTCAACTTTGGGCGACATGTGGTATTCGCCCATCTTCAATGAGCTTTGTATTTCTATCTCTGGACATTTTCTTCCTGGCTTGGTAAACTTGTCTTCATATAGGGCCCAATGCAATTATACTGGTACAAGTGGTAATTCACTTGGTACCTTATTTGGAAATAAATTTTAAATTCCTACAAAAGAAACTCAATATAACTTACAAAAAATTGTTAATTAAAAATGGTGGTTAGTAAATGCACCTCCTTTGAAAAAGAAAAAGTATAGGGGCTGGTGTAACACAATTGCAATATTTACCTCTTTTTTTATAATTAAACTCTATTTCTTTTATTTTTATCACTTTCTTTTATCATTCTTTTTCTTTCTTGATCATTTTTTTCTCTCATTTTCTTTTGATCTTCTCTTACCTCACTAGGATTAAATGGTATAAGATTGATCTTTTCTCCATGATGCATAAAATAATATTTATTGTAACATCCATCATGATTGGTTTTTCTATCAAATAGTCAAGGTCGCTCTAACAACAAATGACTAGCTTCCATTGGTACTACATTACACAATATCACACCCTCGTGTTTTATAATTTTAAAATAAACCTCAACTTGTTTATTACAAGAATTTTTACACTTTCATTAAGTCATTGGAGTTTGTAAGGCTTATGGTGGTGCTTCTTATCAGCCCCTGTTTGGGGGTTATTGTCCCTAACTCTTTGTGGTTGTTTGAAGAAGCCATATTTTATTGATTATTGGATGGGGGACACGCCCTTCGAAGGGTATACTTCCTTTCTCCCAAGTGAAGACTTGGTTGGAGGTCGATGTAAGAAAGGGGTTACTGTTTATTCTTTGAAATGGCTAATTATCAAGAGGGGATGAGCCTAATACACCACTTACACGTTCAAGGTTTATGGTGTTTTGATTGTGCATCACCTTTACGTTCAAGGTTTAAGGCCTTTGGTTGTGCACCACATACACGTTCGAGATTTTACATCAGGCTAATCTCAAATCGACTAAGCTTTTATATAGGGCTAAGCTCAAGAAATGGTGTGAAGATTTTTTACTAGTTATTCTTCACAAACTCAAAAGGAGAGTTTTTCTTCAATGGAAGATGCTCACGAACCAATTGGAGACTTATATTAATCCTCCAACGAGCTTTTATACATGTTTATCTCCAAACCAAAACGAACACTTTCTAAGGAAGAACAATTTGTCAAAAGGAAAGATAACCCTTGGTAAATTTATAATAATGCTTTCACCCATAATAATTTCCTCACTAAACTCAAGAACACTCTTTAAGCATTATGACTAAATATGTGAGAGAAAAAGAATTATTTTTAGAGAGGTTGAGAGAAAGAGGAAAAATGAGATATTCACGTTTTTCTAGATGTTTAGAAATGAAAGAGAAACTATCTATTTAAAGGCCAAGATATGATTCAATTTAGGAAACAATCCATGGAAAAAATAAATGACCAAATCGATTAGATAATCGATTAGTTTCATGCAATAATCGATTATTGCTCCCAAATTGAAAGATTTTGATAGAGAACCATTACCTTTCATTAAGACACTTTAATAATCGATTATGGGCTTGATTCACACTCATCTAATCAATTAAGTACATGTTCAAATCGATTAGACAATTCAAAAACTTATCCTAATCAATTTGACAGTTCCTATTTCATCTGGCTAGGTTCCAAAAACATTTTTGGTGATTTAATTGAAAAAAGGACTTAAAGCTTCAGATTGTGAAATTCCCCTCTTTCATACTCAGAAGCTTCAAGTCCTTTTGATGAATATTCTAATTAAATAAACACTTCACTTGAATCTACTTGAGTCTTGAGATATCTTCAAGTTAGTCACCATCAACAAAGGCTAGATCTATCACATGTGATCATAAACCTGATTTCTTTAGCTTGATTAAAAGGAATAAATTGATCAATCACTTTGTGCATATTTGAACGCTTGACTAGCTTTGGTACTTGCTTGTCTTTGTGAGTTGTAATAAGAATCACTTAGTGTTGCACCCCAAAATTCGCCCTGCTAATTTTACTTTTATCTAGTTTAGGTTTTACATTCATCTGCATATATTCCATTAGGTCATTAACATAACATTGCATTCGATAAAGCATCGGAGATTCAAAGTTCAGTGGTTGTGCGAGCTAGGGTTTTCATAGTGTTTTGAGGTGTATATATGTCAAATGAAGATGATTTCATCTAATTCTTCTTTAAGCATTAAAGTAGAGTTAGGGTTTTGATTCATGGTTATCATGGAATTATTCTTCATCAAGCTCTAAGTCTATGTTCCATCATTTACCATCAAGAGTAAATGAATTAGGCTTTCTAGTCCTTTATTTTTTTTATTTAAGGTGCCCTTCTAATTACAATCCAGTGGTTTACTCAAGGATGAAAAGTTGTATGTAAGACTTTCTTGGAAGTCTGTGAATAAAGGTGTATTTTCTTATGATTATGCTTGAGTTTATCATCTGGGTCAAGACTCGTTGCATTGAACTTTCATCAATTCAAGGTGTGTGGATCAAAGCCTTTGTGCATAGGAACATTTGTGAATTCATACATCTTACACTCCATCAAGCTAGAGCTTTGGCATATTCTTTAATCAGTTGAGGCTTGGATCGCAAGCCAACATTGTAAACGACAAGTTTTCTTCAAAATAAAATTGATTTAGATTTAGACATGAAGTGTGGATCACGTAGGCAAGATTGCAAGATTTGTTCATGGTTTCAATTATTTTTCAAGGTTCTTTAAACATGAAATTAGAAGAGTTTTTACATAGGGATTGTTCAAGGGTCTTCACACAATATTCATTCAAGTATTGGTTCAAAGATTATTCAACATCATTCTACACCATTCAACAAGTCAAGTTTAACACATCCATCATCATTCATTTATATTGTCATCACAAAATCAAAATTATTCCGTACAAAACACTGAATCAAAAGAGGAAACACAGTTTGAAAGAAAAATAAATTGGAATATTTTGAACAATGGTTCATTCATTATAAGGTTCAAGTTTTTCAAACCATTACAAAACCTTTGTTACTACATCAAAATCCACTCATGTCAAAAGTTCATTAAAACATACATAGAAACCTAAAAGTAATCCTAAAGCCTACAACATCTCTTCACCAAATTTCCTCCATCTTCATACTCCAAAAGCCTTTATCAATCTTCAAATTCATCATTGCAAAAGTCTTTCCAAATTGGTCCAAAATTGCATACCTGTTAAAACTTCACCAAGAACAACCCTGCATATTAAACATACACAACAACAATTAACCATGATCCTGTGCGTACATAAAACAGTTCAGAATAAGAATCAGGGAATTCTAATAAATTTGCTGCCAAAATTCAAAAGAATCAGTTCAGAACAGAAATATCAGAAAGAGAGGAAACCGTGACAAATTCCAACTCAGCATTCAAGAAATGATAAGCAAAAGAATACTCTGGAAAATTCAGAATAGTACAGAAAGAGAAAAGCTCGGAATTTTCCAGCTCATGAAATATCAGGAAAAATGTGAGCATAAAATCAGTTAAACTTGCATAGAAAGTTTTCAAAGAAATCAGATTAATCCTAGCCATCTATTCTCATAACAAACTTTCAGATCCAAGGCTGAGATCCATCGATTCTGTAACAGAATTTCCACAAACTCTAACAGAAATATAATAACAGAAAATTACCTGGCGTAGATTGATTCTTCATTCTGCAGAAGAATCTTCAACCTTCTCTCTGCTCCTCTCACCTTCATCTTCTCTACAACTCTGCTAAACCTTCATTGCCTCTCTCATTCTTCTCTCTGCAACTCCACTTCTCATTGCTTCAATTCTTTAAATTACTCTACAAAATCATTCTTCATCATCTTTAATCTTCAGTACTTTCTACATGAAAATTCTTCAACAACGCGTCAACCACAAATTATCCATCGTCCCCTTCAGTCTTCAACGGTTCTGCACAACAATAACAAACGCTTGAGCAATAATCGAAACAAAATTGGAATCGGGGAAGAAGAGAAAATGGAATCAAATACGCATACTTGAGTTTTGAAGATGCACCAGACTTGTCTTCTGGTAGGTAAGACTTACGTTTTCTTCAATTTCTTATTCTCCATTTGTTCTGCAAAATCGCGATGTGGAAGAAAAATCTGAAATAGAAGCAGTGTCGTGAGGTTTATGCTCGCGTCATGTTGAGCGAAAACAGAAGTGATATACACTAATTGATACGAAGGAGATGATGCTTGAGACGGTGGATTAGTTGCACCATTAATGAAGATAAAGCCACATCGGAGGAGAGGAGTACAGTGGCGGCGTAATCAGCAAAGACGCAGTGGAATCGTGAAGAGGAATAGACCCACCCGAAGCTCTTGAAGACGCAATCCAAACTCTCATTCTCTAGAGCTCCGATCTCTCAGGGATCATGAATTTCGTTCCCGAAGAGAGTAATCATGTGATAGAGTGTTCAAGAAAGGTGAAATCACTACAGTCTGAATCTGAAGCATTGGATGAGACGGTGGAGGCGTTTGACAAACTGGCAGAGCTGTGCGGCAGAGAATGGGGAGAAGGAAGCTTGAGTACTCGTAGAACTGAAGAGTATCACAAATTATCCTAAATTCAATAACAAAGCGGCACCATTTTTGTTCTTTCCACCTTACTATCATATTGTTGGCTTTTTCTTATTTTGTTGGCTTCTTCTTATTTTGTTGGAATAAAAAACTCTGGAAATAGGTTTTGTTGTGGAAATATGAGTTGGATCGGGCCTCATTTCTTTATTCTAGGCCCATGATGTTTTTAGCCCGAAGCAATTAAAAAAGAAGGAGACTTGTTGGACTTAGCCTTGGGCCTTAGCGCCTAAGGCCTTTTACTGAGCCTATATCCCGAGTTCCAGGCATATACCCCCCTAGTCTTGGTTTTTTGTTTTAGTTTTTTTTAGTCGCTTTATTTGAATTTTTTTAATTTCATTTCTATTTTGAATTGTAGTAATTGAAAACAATAGAAAATAGTAGAGTATGATAGAATTTTTCTAGAATTTCTTTTTTTAAGATTTCAATTAGAATTTTATATTAATTGTTTATGTTTAGTAATCATTTTGTCACTCGAGACTTGCGATTCACCTTTTCTTGTGGAGATTTGAGTCTTTTGCAGGTTTATTGTGGGATATGTAGATATGTTTGATTTTCCGATTGTGGTTTATTTTCACATCAATGATGCTTCGACACTTATTCTGAGCATTTGGTTTCTGACTCTTTTCTTTGATTGGTGAAGCTTTCGCGAAGAACTTCGGGTTTCTTTGTTTTAATACACTTTGCTACGGATTGATATATGTTTGGTATTTGCTCTTGTTTATCTCATTTCATCATTTTACTGCTTTCTAGATATCATGAGTGAAACAACCGGCAGAAAATCATCAAACAATGAAGTCTCGTCGAACGTCTTTTATCCCACGTGAAGGGAAAGGTAAACATCCAGAAAACCTGAGAAGGGAGAAGTCACGGTCTTGTAACCGAGAGATCAGGTAAGGGAGTCTGTTACACGAGGGAAAGGTATTAGCACCCCACACGCCCGTAGTACTCTACAGTATCCAATCTTGTTATCTATCATATGAGCGTGTTTAATCTATGATTATTGTTTACTACTACTAAGGGGAGTATGCATGCAAAAGAAAGGAGAAAAGAATGTAGGAAAAATAAAGTTGTACTCGCTTGGGCCCTACCTCAATGCTTATGTATCCTTTTTGAGGAATCAGAGTTACCGTAGTTCGGCTCACATGTTTTTGTTTGTTTTGTGTTTTTTATGGACAATGTTAATTCCGCCTTCTTCCACAACTCGACCTTTAGAGACTCACGCATTGGCACAGAAGTAAATTAATTATTTCCTTACCTGAAAAGGGTTTTAGAGAAAAGGTGCTTGGGCGCACAAAAAGGTTTGAGTTGGTTAGTATTTTGTTACCTTGAAAAAGGGTTTAAGTTGTTAGCCTGTTTTTGATTTGCTAAGGAAAGAGGTTTTAGTTTTAGATGCAAGGATGCAAAAGGGGGAAGAAAAGAGTCTAAGGGATACTAACCTATTTCTAACCTAATGTTATCATACAATGGTATCCCTACGTCAAGGATGAAAGGGAAATCACTACCTAATGTTAGCATGTGTGGATTGCAATCTAAGGTCTAACTTGCATCCGAAAAGAGCAAGCACATCCTAAGGGAACATGGTATGTACAAGAATAAAGCAAGCAAGCTCGAAATAGCACACACATAAAGTAGTAAGGAAAAGAATCGAAATGCTTTAGCCAAGGGGAGCATATCACCCGAGACAAACAAGCGGGAGTGAGATGAAAAAATAAAATGTCATGTCCAAAGCGACTGAACACCGAACCAAGATATAGGAGATTAAGGTAGACGGCAGAAGGCGATATGAACGATCATAGAGTATCAGCATCATCCAATGCGAACTCCTAATAAGGCGTGAGGTTTCAATTGCAGAACCATTCCCCACTTATCGACTCGATACACAAGAGAAAGCACAACTTTGAAGCATCATGGTGCGTCACGAGCTAAGGATGACACTGACGAAATTGCGGGGGTTGATTGCTAACCCTCCCCGCTCGCCTCCTTTTGAGGACTTCAATAAGGGATGGGGAATAGTGCGGGCACAAATATAAACACACCTACAGAATACCTACTCAAAGGTAGGGTTTTAAACAAACCACACACAAGTAGCAAACAAAATGCACACAATGCAGAATTTCCCTAAACGGGTCTTTAAATAAACCAGAGGGGTTTCTGACATGTTCAACAATGGAGACCCCCGTCATACATCTCTATCCTACTTCTCATAGCATCAGAAAGAAGTAAAGCCCCTACTTCTCATGATATCTAGAAAAGTGGTAAAGAAATGTAGTAAAGTGTGAAAATGAGGAGTAAAATAGAGTTGCAATGATACCGAACAGAGAAAGTCTGTTGCCTCTTCTAAACCCCGCAAGCGATAAGAAAACTCCACAAAAGCTGCTCTGCGCGAGTGATCAAAGAATTAATCCCCGAGCATTCCATATTGTGAAAATTACATCAATCATTCTATCACAAAATATTAGCTAAAATGTGAAAATGATCATTAAACATAAAATAATAGAAAACTCTCATAAAATTCTAAAGAGAAAACTCAAAAAATTCTAAAATATTCTACTATTTTTGTATCATTATCATTATTAAAATCATGAAAAAAGTGAAGCTAAAATTAATAACATGGAAAGGTAAAAGTAGTAAAACAGAGGGGTGTAGACTGAAGTCAGGAGGTTCTGTATAAGCAATCAGAATATTAGCGCTAAGCCCAATCTAAAAGAAAGTCCATGAAGCAACTCCTTTTTTTTCCCAATTCACATGCTCTCAAAAAAAATTCTTTGGGCCAAGAAGAGGGTGGACTGGTCCAAATATCACCCAATTTTCCATCATTTATCTGTATTTCAAATTAAAATATAAAATAAAGTAAATAAAATTCAAGAGAAAAGAAGTTGGATTTAGGGTTATTGTGACGATTCATCTTCTTCTTGAAAGAACACGATCGACGTTGTTCTCTTCCTTGCTCAATCTTCCACAGAGGTTAACGACTCATGTCTGTCTCCAATTCGATCACCATTGTCCTATCACACAACGCTGTTGTGAGTTCCTCCGTATGTCCTCTGTCTTAATCCCTCATCCAGTTTCATCACCTTAATCTCAAACTCTCTGTCCCTTTCCGCTCTCGATGCAGGCTTCAAACACAGTATAAGGACTAGAATAGCGTGACGGTGATGAAAGCGATACCTCATTGATCGCGTTATCACGAAGAACAAGAAAGAAAGAGTTGTTACTCACCGACTAGAGAAAAATTGGAGTTTCTTCAACTCCATAAAGATGATGAGGAGCCAGCGAGAAATCTCTATGCAGATTACATGTGTGAATCCTCTACTTCCCTTGATTCTTCCTCTTGCTCTGAATTCACTATGTTTTTGTTCTTGTTGTGATGTTGTTGATCTGTGCAGGGGATTGAAGATAATCGAAGTGATTAAAGGGTTCGTGGTTGTCGTGATGAAAGCTATGGATACAGGTAAGTGTCGCTCTGAAGATGATGAGCGATGGTTGTTATTGAACGCGGTCGTTGGAGATTGAAATCCTTGTGCAGAAGACACGATGCTGGAGTGGTTTAACACTGAAGGACAAATGATGAAGATGATGAAATTTGGTTATGGGGGAGTGATGTGTGGTGGTTGCAGAGAGGGAATTAATATTTTTTGTTGAGTTTTTCTTTGTGAATAATTATCTGTAATTTTCTGTAACTGAACTTTCTCTGTATGAACGAATTATGTTATATATCATATCCCTTCCTCTCTTTTCTGTTATCTTCCATTAGGATCCTTCTTCCCTTCTCTGTTATGAATCTGTTAGTAGGTTTTGTTAGTTGGTTACAGGTTGGAAACTATTAGAGAAAAACAGTTAGGGGTTTTTTTTTGCTGTTAGTTTAGGAATGCAGGGTAGTTATGGAGTTTGATGCAGTTAGAGGTTGTTATGAGATGTTAGGGAATTGGTTGAATGAAAAAGAGGTTAAGGAAGGAGTCGGAATTCTGTTAGAATTGTGTTACTCAATTGAGAGAGTTAGTTGTCATTTCTGTTATGCTGGAATTTTTGGTTAGGAATTTGTTGGAGCGATTGGTAATTCTGTTGATTTTTGTTTGCAGGGCTGTTTGTTGGTGAGGTTAGAAGTTAGTTGGGGATGCATAGTAGTTAGGATATTGTTTAGTTATTATAAGGTTGGTTACAGTTTGTTTTCTGTTGGAGAGGATGTTGGAAAAATGTTAGAAAACTTTGTTTGTTGAAATTCCATACTGAAACGGTTTTGGAAGAAGTCAGTTATAGGCTGAAACTTCCTGTTATGAATTCTCTTAAAGATATCAATATTAGTCATTGGTGAATGATGGATAAGATAAATCTGAAAAATGTTTTGATTTCCTGTTGCAAGTACATTTCCTAATTTGGTTTCTTTTTTTTTTCTGCATATATTTCATGTTAGTTCACAAGTCCTGATTTATGTATCCTTTTGTAGCCTTCTGTTGTTCACAGTACACGGCACGACTGGCGATATTGTGGCTTTTTTGTTAAGGATCTTGGAGGGAAACACAACTCGAATGACTTTCTAACCGATTTGGGAAATTTGGTAATTAGTTTATGATTTATGTTAACTGTCAGTTACAATTAGTGGCTAGTAAAACAATTATAAAACTAGTGTCATGTTAGTTTGTTTTGCATTGGATCAATTATTCTGTTTGTTGGATGCATAGCGAACTGGTTTTGCTTATCAATTGACGCAGAGTTGTTTGAACTTTGGCTAATTGAGATTTGTTTCCTTAATGATGTAGGCTATGAATAGTTGAAGAATGACAGAGGGCTTAAAGAATTAACTTGGAGAAGAAGCATAGTGTAAGGTTAAATGAAGACTTGACTCATGGTGTGAAAAGTGGGAAAAGACTTAGTCATGGAACTTGGATTAATTTATAACTTTGTAATATTCGGCGTATTTTCTTGTGTAAATTATTTCTATTTTAGAAAGTAGATGATTTGATGTTGTAATGGTATGATTGAATTATGTAACATGACATATGGATTCTTTTGCTTTGTAAAGAAGTTTGCTTTCACTT